AATGCTTCTTTTTTTTCCTTTTGCATTGAGATATTGCACTAAAGGGAATAGCCCGTTGTTCTCTTTGAATGTGTAAGTAGGTTTGTACTTGAGGGGGACTATAACATCATCCTACATTCACACAGTGTTGCACAACAAATGAAGCGAAGAATGGCTAAAAATAAACACAAAGATAACTCTGTTTGCTGGTTTGGAAATTATTCAGATGTAAAGAGTGTGAAACTTGTATCTTGCAAAAAAGCAATATTATGACCCTATCTTATCATCTGTATGTTATCAAGCATGTTTTTTAATGTCGGTCCTGGAATGCTTGGCATTCAGACAGGCAACTTGTTATGTAAATGTGACGGCAATTTTACATGCAATGAGTAACTTTGACAGAAAAATCATGACTGCAATCTTAAAGGTCCAGTGTGTAACATTTAGGAGTATTTATTGTCAGAAATTGAATGTAATATTCATGGCTATGTTTTCATCAGTGTATAATAGCGTGAAATAGCCTGAAAGTAAGAACAGCCATGTTTCTACAGTAGTCCAAAAGGGACAAACCAAAAACTGGTTCTAGATAAGGCCTTTTGTAATTATTTATCGAGTTTAGCAGCCACCGTAGTTTCTCCTACACGCTTGGTAGGCAAGCAGTATTCAGTTAGTTCAACTTCACCGCTACATGCCACTAAATCCTACACACTGCTCCTTTAAGGCTTCAATGGCAGTATATATTCTACAATCCAACAGTGATGCAGCCTGTCAGAGATCATACAGCACTCTGCTATGCTCCCTCTTTCCATAAATCTCCTGCCATAATGAAAAATTTCACAATGACCACCTTTCTCTGAATGAAAAAGAGCCAATATTTTAACAGATAGATGTTGTCTGACTGTACACAAAGACAGATGTAAAAACTGAAACAATGTCTTCATCTTATCAAATGTCTTTGAATGACGACTGTCTTGGCATTCTGAGGCATTTCTAGTCAAACTCACCACAGTCTAAATAATGCATAGCCTAAGTCACACCCCCTGTTTTCCACTCTGACTCACCCATGGAGGCTGTGAATACTTTAGAGCACAGCTCAACAACTGTAAAAGTTGCTATCTGAGTGTAACAGGCTTTGTGCTGCAAGCAGTCGACATTAAAATCAATTTCCACTGGCTCTTCCTTTCACTCATTATATAGTTTATACCTCTTGCTGATCGCACCTAAACCCCATTTCAATGGTGCCAAGCTGAATGTGTACACACACCATGTACACACACACACACACACACACACACACACACACACACACACACACACACGGTCCTGTAGCCTTTCCCGTAGCTAATTTCAAATCCTATTTCTGTGCCCTTCTCCACAGTGATTTTTCTGGCTCAGAGATGTGAACATCCGCTTGAATAAATATTAATGGTTATTCTATGAGCAGTGCCCACTCACAAGTGTGCTGGAAGAACAAAAGGCCTTGTTTACAAGTACGCTTGAGGAAAAGCTAAGGCACGGAGGGCCTCCGAGAGCCTCTGAGGGCGGCTCTGTGGCGCTGTTGTCTCACAATGGAGTGCTGATTGAAACACACTCTTAACTTCCAGCGCGCGGCGATGGCGAAGACGGCGAAAATCCTCAACATGACGAATTTCTATTCAACGACTGCAAGGATGGAGCTGGAGAAATCAAGCTTAGGAACTCGCAGCCTCTACTTAAACTCGTTTAAGACATAGCTGAGAGGTAATTAGGTTTCTGGGAACAATAAGCACTCAGCACCTTGTGTAGCTCCAGCCTCGCTCCAGACATTTCCTTTGGTGTAATTAGGGGAGGTGTGAATTCCTCATCAGATGGATCACCATCTGCATTCACACACTGCATGTTCATTCCCCCAGTCCCCAGCTACGAGCCTATGTTCATCCTGATTATCATGCAGGAGGTGGAGATGGGGAGGATGGAGGTGAGGGCTTCTCTTTTTTAAGGTTCTTTCAGTGCTACTGGTCTCCAGCACCTCGCTACGCAAAGGTTAATCAATTCTGAATGATGAGCCATAAAAGCTTTAATAATGCAGTCACTCTCTAATGAGTGGTCCTGCATGCTCGCTCAGGAAGGACCGATTGTTTTAGGAAGCTCCAATGTTCCAATTACAAAGCGCTCAAGCATTCCCTAACAGCCCAGAGAGAGCCGGACACAGTGAAGGTCCAGCGAGCCGGACAATGAGCCCTGCAGCGTGGAGCTAATGTCTGCTCAAGATGGGAAACAAGAGAAACCCATCATATGGCCGTCAATATCAACCTAATTCCAACTATTGACTTGCACTTTAGCTGAACCTGGAGAGTTTTGAATGTAGTTCCACCACCTTTGTCATGTTTCAGAAACTGGTTCAGAAACCAGCTTTGCTTTCAATCAAATTTGAAACCTCATAGAGACAGTGTCGGAGTGCATGGACGGATCAATAGTCTCCCATTTTGACATTAGAGGCCATTGTTTAATAGTCTACCTTTACTTTTAACCATGACCACAACATTTCCCAAACCCTTTGACTATCACAACTCCAACCCTAACTTATTTTAACCCAAACCAAGATCTTTCTAAGCCTAACCCATAACCCTAACTAAGAGCGAGAAAGGTCATTGACCTTGGAGACAGACCATGACTAATGTTTCGTATTTAGATCAGGTGATGACAACAGAACCATCTCCATGACAACTGAACCAACTCCATTTTCTGACAAAGTCTGTGGGATGCAGTTTAAAAATCAAATGGACCTTGAGTCAGATTATTTTGGCAAATGAATGAAACAACCATAATAAACCTTAAACTAAAATAAACCTGATGGCTATTCTTTTTCAAATTTGTTATATTCTTTTCAAATCTTCAGTAATTTCAGCCTTCATTTAAAGGTATTATTCTGTCCCAGAGCTGTCCTGCCATTGAACAGATGGAGTGGGTCGCATTGCCTTGAAGAATTGCTAACCCTGAAGGAATTTGATTAGTCTGGGTTTCAAAGCGGAATTCTAGTATTGCATCATAGTCTAAATAATGTTTCATAGACTAGTCCATCCAGATACAGTAAAACACAAGGAAAATCAAGGCATCTGTGTAATTTTTTAAGAAAAGATAGATGGTTGGCACAAACTATCAGATCAAGACTTAATGGATGTAAGTTTTCAACAAAAGTATCAGCAATCTGGTCCATCCTTGCCAATTACACTGATTATAGTGCTGTAGCACTTTAAATGGTGCCACTTAACCAAAATCATAAACATGACACCATCTTGGCCAAGCCCGCCGCTCTCTTTCCCAATAGCTAATGGCTAAATATTCTGCCGGGTTAACTGAGTAATTGTCTGTTGTCAACATGCCACATATAATTATGAGGGACTGTAAAAGAGCATGTGTTAATTGTTTTTTCTGGCTTTTTCCTGCAGGTTGTCCTTCTCTTGCCATCCTCGTGTCCTTGGCCTGGCAACCCCTCGGCACATTCCAGCGCATGTCTCTGTCACGAACCAAGCATCACGGAATACATCATCCCCAACACTACATCCCGCACACATCCATTCAAGTAAATCTTTCTTTCTTTCTTTCTTTCTCACAGATAAACTAGAGATATGTATGTATAATAGTAACTGCTTTTTGGTAGCAAACCTCTAGAGATGTATGCTTTGAAAAGAATAGTGGCAGGTGAGCTACTTTACTTAACTCATTAAAACAATGACATAAATGTGAATAACTTAACCAATATGATGATGAAGAAGCAGCAGGCCATGATTGGCCATCATGGCAGAGGGCAGGTGTAGTTAGCCAGAGACAGGGGTTATATATCCAGCTAAAGCTTCAGTGCTCTCTTTGCAGCCTTCTTTTAATCACCACAGTCAGAACACTATTTTGGGCCAACTGTGTTTCATGGATGCTCAAGCATGAAAGAGGAATCTTGTTGGGTGGATCCATAGAAATAATGAATAAAAAAGGCTTTAGAGTTTGTCACCACAAAATACAGCATTTTAATTACGGTAGATTCCCTTGAGACTGAGCTGCAAATACAGTACTGGCTCTTTAGGTACCACTGGGAGTCTGCATCATTGCTAAGCTAATAATGTTTTGCCACTGTAGTGCTGATATACACATTAAATTAATCTGGGTAATATGCATACTGGATATATTATGGATCATATCAGACTATGGTCATTAATGCTAATGGGGAATCATTACCGTAGTTTGCATATGAGAGGTTTTCAAAATTAAACCGTCAATTGCCACATTCCTAATGCTTAATGCTCTCTCAGCTGGAGCAAAGGGTGAACTGTGCATAGACTGCCATGAGCCACACTTTCTGCAACTTCACATTTAAAGAAATAGTTCAACATTTTGGGAATTGTGCTTATTCACTTTCTTTTTGAGGGTCAGGCGAGAAGATCAATACCAACCTCATATCTGAGCATTAGGTAAAAAACTGAAGTCAGGACATGGTTAACCTAGCTTAGCAGCTAGCACTGCTAAAGTACACTAATTAACACACTGTACCATGTATTCTTATAGAGATAGCGCTGTAACACTTATTTAACAAATAACAAATGATCATCTTTGGCTATAGAACTGGTTGCCAGGCACCCAGTCAGTTAGCACAAATTGTTGTCTCTACATTCATGTTTGTTTATGGATTAACCAAATGAAATACGATGTGTTAATTAGTGAGCATTAGAGCTGTTCGTTGTTGTATTTTGAACACTGAAAATAGCAAGGGAAGTTGTTTACCCCTGCTTCCAGTCTTTATGTTACCTAGGCTAATCGCCTCTCTCATCTAACTCTTACAAAAAAAGAGAGTGTTGAACTCTTTCTTTAGTCTGAAATAAACTTTGCAAATATCAGGAAACATTCAGAAAATGAACTGTATCCTTTAAAAACGTCACATTTCCTTCCACAGCAGTACAATTTAAAAGCTCTTTACCCCACAGAAAAACATTGCACAGAAATGATCCCAGTGCAAATCATCATCATTATCAATAAACTGTTTGAGTCCTTACCTGCTTGACCAGTGGCGATGCTAACCGCCGCAAACAGCCTCTGTGTGCGGCTCAGGTCCGACACCCCGTTGACAGCCTCCACCTCAAAAGTGTAGTTGGCGTGGGCGAGCAGGTCCACGATGGTCACGTAAGTGTCCACTAATCCTGACTGCGCGGGAGAGTATCCCACATTGGGCCCACATGGAACGCACTCCTCTGGTTCCCAGCTGCAACGCCGGCATATAACCCTGTAGGTGACGTCGTTGCGGCCGCCCGTGTCAGCCGGCGGGCCCCACTCCAGGTTAACGGTGGTCTGGTTGATGTTGTAGACTATGTTCTGTGGCGCTGAGGGAGGTCCTGTCAGAGGTGGACACGGAGGAAGCCAGAATTAAATAACTGGGTGCCAAAGAAAGTGACAGCCAACAGTGTGCATTGACTGGATCTGTGCTTTCACTGTTCTCTGAGAGAGAAAAAAACACTATAGGACATGCCAGCTCCAGCCCTAGAGCCAAACACTCACACTCAATTATAATAAGACTCAGATCCAGAAAAAAAAGTAGTTCAGGTACACTGAAAGGAAGTCTGCTCTGGCAGCCACCAAGGTCAGTGTGAGAAGCCTGTGAAATCAAGGAGTGGAGCCCAGAGTTTCAAAGGGAGAATAATTTCATAGTCAGAGTTCATGCAACACAGTTTTTATGTCACTGTTTTTATGAATTGTCGTTACCAGGACAGAGAACCCATCTAACCTACCCACTTCCATTTCACCTCATCCCTCCAGCACCATCATTTACACTATAAAATGCTGATAATTAAATTGATAACAAGATTTTACAGTGTATGAGGTTTTTCATTTTGAAGTTAGATCCACTTAAATGGTCTAGTTAGCACATTCAAAAACATCACACATTCACAGATAACGGAAAATCACTTGACTAAATGTCCAATTGATTAACAGTTACTTAACTCATGAAAAATAAGTTATTAAAAACGATTGTTAGCTTGTTAGCATTCCCACATGCATGTATTTGGCTTAAAAATCTTTATAAAGTATGCTTTGTTCTTTTGTTCTTTGTCATTTTATTGCATGTGTTAAAACACTTCAGCCATGTAAGTGTAATTATTCGACAGGTTGGAAAATTAGGGATACACCTTTTTTTTTTTACCTCAATATTTTAAGTTTTTAATTAATCTGCACAAGTTCAGTTAGGTTTGAGGCTACTTTCAACATATTTTTTTGACCACTTACGGATATATCTCCACAACAACCTGAAAATAATTATATTATGGCTTCGAAAAGTTTATATGGATATCATGGTAGGAAACTAACTTGTGTACTCAGTAGACACAGATATGTTACTACATTAACTTTTTACTTCGAGGAAGTCAAATATTCACTTTTCCTATTACATCTGTTTTGGTTTTTTTTTGGCCTTCACCTACTACTAAAATAAATATCTGGCTATTAAGCTACTAAATAGACAACTATGTTCATTAGCTAGTTGCTAACTTTGCCTGTCTGTTGTTTGGTGATGGTAGATAGCAAATAGTGTGGTTGATGAGAAACCAAAACAACTAGCTGAAAGATACTGAAAGGCTTTGGGTTTGTCACCATGAATGTCCCTTTTCACATCACATGTGGTGATCTTCGCCATTGTTAATAGAGAAATAATGATTAATGCAGCATTAGGGCAGCCTGGTTTCTCATATTTTAATTTTAAAACAACCTAATGTTTTTTTTTTTTTTACAGTGTAGTCATGCATGCAAACCTAGCTGGTAATTCATGCAGATGGACTAAGAGCTTTGTTTACATAGCAATTGTTAGCAACATAAAATCTGCAGCTGCTATGAAAATGATTGAGACATGGTTACATGGTCAGACAAATGCTGAACAGGGAATCAGGAGAGACAGACAGCCACTCTCTAAGTTTCCCTGTTCTCCAGTGATATACAGCTATCCCAGCTGGAGACAGTGGCTTTGCTGGGTTTCCGCAGAAAGGTATATCATGTAGACAGCAGGACACTTAAAGTTAATGTCCTCCAAAAAAAGACTGAAAGACTGACTCACCCACAGAATTTATGAACAAGATTTAAACCTGGATTATCACCGCCCTGTAACTGCCATATACAATTTCACTTGACATACAATAACAACTAGCTCCATGTCATCAAAAGTGCACAGGACCACAGACCATTTGCCTGTAAATGTTACACGTAATGGCAAAGAGATTAGCTCATCTCGTAAAACAATGAATAACAAATTGCTGCTTTCATCTTTCAAATTCCAGGCTGTTGGCTTTTATTGCCCAGATGTTGATATAAATAAACTCCCCCATACCGCAGTAAAGATTATATGACTTGTATTCTTTGTTTATGAATGTTTTAAGAACATCTTCATTTTGTTCTCTGGGATATTTAAACTGTTCTGTTTTCTCAGGAAATATTCTTTGAGGGAATCTTGGGGAGGGACCTCTCAACTCATTAAATTTGTCACATTAACTAACAAAATAGGTCATGCATATGCATAGAGCCAAAACTGCTATCACAATATTCGGGCTCATTAATACAGCACTTAGTTGTTTTTCCCTGTTCCACCCATTAGAACTGAGGGCTCAACGGAGACATCCATATTCATGATTATTGGGTAAGATAAGAGACAGGCTGTGGACTGGGAAGATGAAAGAGCCACCTGTGGCAGGTGAAGTGGAGACGAGTGACTGCTGATAGCGCCACTCGACTTCAGCCTTGGCACTGACACTCGACCTGCACTCTCAATCTTCCTCGCGGACAAAGGGAAGGTGTGCCTCGGCACATACGCACTAGGTCGCCCACGCACATGTGCACACACAAACACACACACTTCCCACCTCCCTCCCTGAACCTCTGGGATCTTTTATTCCAGCATCTCCATGGCCACGGTAAGCGTTGATAACATCTCATTTTGCTCGTGCCACTCATTTGGGTCTCAGGTGCCACAGATCAAAGTGGTGATTTCTCGGCAACAACAGGAGAAAGGAAATTAGATTAGACTGACCCTGGATCTGTGTGACCTTTGTCTTTTGTCCTGTTTTCAGATGCATGCTGCCCTGCAAGCTTTGCCTTTCGACCTCTAGAGACCCCAGTGTGCTTCGAACGAAATGCTTGTCTGATCATCTGACATCGATAGTCTGAAGTCCCCTTCCCAAATGGCAGAATTTGGGCTGGGTTCAACAAGTTTTTTAACTTTTCGTAACATACAAATAGGCGTGAAGAGCTCTGAGGGTACGTAGGGTTTTAACTTCTCTCTCAGTCTCTCTTTATCATTCTCATGTTTCGTATGTATGATACCCCAGGTGCCACACCATGAATGCTTTTGAGAAGAGACTGTCCTGTCATGTTAAGACTACAATGACAAGGGATGGGACCTGATAAGATTTTATTTTATTATTTATTTTAATACACTATCGATTCTGCTTATCGGTCCAATTCTTTGTAGGTACCCGTATATATTCTTGATCAGTTTTCTGTGTGGAAAAGGACCGTTGTCTATGCATCTGAGTCTGAAAAAAATGTAGAAAATTAGTTATAGTAGTTTCTCTACTTTCTCTGTTAAATAAGGCCATGTTTCAGACCGTTTCTTCCACGCCGCCATTACTCCTTCTTGTTGCGAGCCAACAGAGTGTTCTGCCACTTGAGTTTGACATCATTGTTTAGCAATGACCAACTGTCAGAAAAACATGCTGGAATTAATAGGCATAAGGAATTGATAAGCTCGGAGGCATACAATACATACATGTATCAGACTATTTGGAACCGATTCTCAACTACGACTGGTTCTTGATTCCCATCCCTAATAAAGACACGCAATAGACACGGTTCTCGTAGAGTTCTTGGAGGGACTGATAGAAATAAGGAACTGATAAGCTGGGAAGCATATGATTCCGATGGATCAGATAATTTAGAACCTGTTCTCGAAGCCCCTCCCTAATATAGACACACAATAGACAGAGAGTTGTTGGAGAGAGAGGAAGGCAGTGGGAGAAGTCTTCGGAGGCAAACCTTTTGCCCAACCCTCGAGTGTGGCCACTTGTAAAAGGTATGCACACATTTCCCTTTAGACATAGTGAGACGGCACATCTTATGACCCATTTCGCTCGAAGCATACTGAACCTCTCTTCTCTTTCTTCTTCAGCCTTGGCGTCACTTTGTTTCACTGAATATACTCTGTCTGGACTCAGGAATATGAAACTCTTCTGCCCCCACTTCACCTGCAGCACAGATTTGCACCACATCCAGAGCCCTCTGCTGCCTGTCTGCTCATCCTTATAGCTCAAGGGCTTGTCGCTCTCCCTCTTCTTTTCACTCTTTTTTCTGTCTCTCACTCCCCCACTCTGTCTTATCTTTTCGTGTTCTTTCCCCTCACCCCTCCTCCCAGTCAAGTTTCATTTCACGGATTAGCCTTCCAGAGCCCCCACAGCCTGAAATGTCTCAATCACTTGCTAGCTTCCCTCCAACGCTGCCACTGTGACCAAGCATGGGTAAGCGTGTGTGTGTGAGGGTATTTTTGTTGTTGTGCATAAATATGGAATATGTGCATGCACAGTTTATGTTTCCTGCTACACCACTTGCATGCTAACATGGAACAGATTTTAAAGCAGAACCTGTGATTTTGTGAAATAAACAAAGAACTCCTATGTGTTAAAGTGAAGAGAAAACAGCCTTCAGCTGCAGAGAAGTATTCACTACATCTAGTACTCTACCATATAGAAAACATAGTATAGTAGCTGATCGTTTTTAGGTCATGTTTCAAAGCCCATCTCCACTCTGTGTAGAGTTGTGAGACCTGAGTAAATCCAAGCTTAGGAAAGAAGAATCCGGTGCTTATCGGCCTTGAGAGGTGCTTGGGGCTGCCTTAACCCTCCATAGCCTATTAGCTGGCTGTGCTCTAATTGGGGAGCTGTGGGGAGAGGGGCGGCAGGGGTGAGTGGTATTCAAATCACCCATGAGGTAATCCTCACTCTACAAATGTGTGTTGTGACCCTGTGACCTAGCCTCTAATGATGTGGCAGCAGCAGAACCTGTATGAGGGAAGCCATGCAAAAGAGAAGGGGTCGAAGACGAGTTTTTTAACTGAAGGGCCTACCACTTTCGTGTCTTGTCATGTCTCTAAAACAGTTGGTCTTATAACAATGACCAAAGCTATTGTGAGTGGTCAAATTGTAAGTATGATGTCTTTATACAAACTATTAGATGCAATCCTAAGCTGCAATTTGCATGGCCACTTCTAATTACAATGTGGATAAAAAAACATGCAACAATTAAATTTACATGTGCATGACCAGGACAGGGATGGAGAGGCTTTATGTCTTGATCAGCATCA